AAATTCAAAATTAGCCGGGTATGGTAGCACAAGCCTGTAATCCCAGCTACTCGGGAGGCTGAGGCAGGAGAATGGCTTGAACCCGGATGATGGAGGTTGCAGTGAGCCGAGATCGCGCCATTGCACCCCAGTCTGGGCAACAAGAGTGAAACTGAGTCTAAAAAAAAAAAAAAAAAAAAAAAGGGCTGAAAGAACATGAAAGGGCCTGTCCAAAGTTGGGAACAACTCATACAAACATTCTGAGTTTCCCGAGTTTGGTACATATCAGTGGGAAAGGGCAACAAGGCATTCTAGTCCACGCTGGGATCATTACAATGCTCTGAGATAGAAACAGACCACAGTGCTTATCACAGCAAATCTAATAAGAAGAATGGCCTTATTTTACATTTTTGTAAATCTTTTTAATGTCTGGGTTAAGGAAAAGAGCTGTATTCTCCTATCTGCTTCTGCCTTCAATCAGTTGCACATTATGTAGCCTTTGGAAAACTTAATTGCACATTCATAAGAGAATGAGGGTAGAAATTCCAGTATTGTTATGAAAATTGTTTTAACTTGATCGGTCCCTGAAAGGGTTTTGGGGGGCCCCTAGACCACTCTTTAAGACATTGTTTTAAAAAATATGTATACTAAGGGCCATAACTTTGATCAATATTCAGAAGAGATTCTCAGGTAAGGGAAAGGCATAAAAAAGATGGAGAGAAAGAGAGAAAAACATCAGTGACTACATGCAGCCACACTTAGAGGAAGGCCAAGACATTTTGTTAGCGTACTTGTTGTTACTTTAACTGTCACTTACTCTGTACTTCACCATATTTTAACAAGAAATGAATTGATATTTGAAGAGAAGAAAAGCCAGACCCCAGAACAAAAACCACATACTACAATTCCTCCTACTTCCTATATAAATGTCAATTGTTAATGCGCATTTACTCTTTAGGCCATCACATTCTAATTATAAGACCCATAAGTCACTTTTCTCCTGGCTTTTCTTCTCTTGTACAACTTTCTGATGACTGTCACTCAAATATTATTTAGCAGGACGAAAGAGCAATTTCCAATTATCAATCAGTTCCAAACTGCTGCATAGCGCAGTCTTTCCATCTGCATGTTTCTATGAATAGCAGCTAAATGACAACGGACAAATCAACTCCAATCCTTTCTAAACATACATTGTTCTTTACCTAGTTAGGTGATTTCTGTCTACTATAAATGATTCATCATGAAGCAAAATAGCTATATTCATTTAAGCATGGTCAAGAAAAATAATTATTTATGAATAATCATCTCATGTCATCATTTTTCCCACACTTTAGAAGATACATGATTTCAAATTTTTCTTCACACAGGCAAACAAAAACAAATAGTTACAGTGACTTTTTCAGGAGATACTTGTTTTTTATGTCTTATTTAAATTCTCACTACCCTAGTACACCTTCTAAGAGTCATTAGCTAGGCCAGCACTCCCCTGGTCAATAGCATAGGCCTAGGTTTAAATCCTGAAGCTGCCACTTGCAATGTGACTTTGGGGAAATTACTTAATCCGGCACCTCACTTTTCTCAGCTTTAAGATGAAGACAATAACAGTATCTGCCTCATAAGTGAATGACAGGATTAAATGAGATAATGAATAAATGAGCAAAGTATTTAAAACATTGCCTGACACACAATACATACTAGTAAATGTTAACTTCTGTTTTTATTTATTTATTTATTTTGTTATTTAAATTTTTTTTGAGATGGAGTCTCGCTCTGTCGCCCAGGCTGGAGTGCAGTGGCGCAGTTTCGGCTCACTGCAACCTCCGCCTCCAGGGTTCAAGTGATTTTCCTGCCTAGCCTCCTAAGTAGCTGGGATTACAGGCACATGCCACCATGCCCAGCTAATTTTTATATTTTTAGTAGAGATGGGGTTTCACCATGTTGGTCAGGCTGGTCCCAAACTCCTGACCCTCATGATCCACCCGCCTCTGCCTCTGGAAGTGCTGGGATTACAGGCATGAGCCACCACGCCCGGCCTGTTTCTAATTTTTTTCTTTTTTTTTAATTTTTAACACTCAGATAACAGGAAACAATAAAAATAGATGACTGTTTCTAAGTGCCCTTCCTTTTTAAAGTAGTTGTTTATACCACCTAATAAAGCTCTGACAAGCCATAAAAACAGTATAAAAGATACATTCAAAACTACTATGATTCTAGTTCAGGTACAGTGGTGAGCACCTGTAGTCCCAGCTACTCATGAGGCTCAGACAGGTGGATCACTTGAGTCCAGGAGTTAAAGGCCAGCCTAGGTAATACAGCAAGACTCTGTCTCTTTAAATCAAATAAAAAATGAAATAACTACTATAATCCTGTGTGCAAAAAGAAAAAAAAAAAAAAAAATTTATTACAATTGGTCCATTACAAATTGTTCTTGACCTCAGGTAAATGGAAATTTATAAGCTTAAGCCTGGTACAGTGGCTCATGCCTGTAATCCCAGCACTTTGGGAGGCTGAGGCAAATGGATTACTTGAGGCCAGGAGTTCAAGACCAGCCTGGCCAACATAGCAAGATCCTATCTCTACGAAAAATACAAAAATTAGCTGGGCATGGTGGCACACACCTGTAATCCCAGCTAGCTGGGAGGTGGAGGCACAAGAATTGCTTAAACTTGGGAGGTGGAAGTTGCAGTGAGCCAAGACTGCACCACTGCCCTCCAGTCTGGGCAAAAGAGCAAGACTCTGTCTCAGAAAAAGAAAAGACAAGAGAGGAGAGAATAGAAGAGAAAAAGAAAAGAAACTCAGGAAGGCATGCCCTCCAAAATAGACTGACAGAGTCACAACACAGCATTTGACACAGCTATCTAGAAACAAGAGAACTGTGTAACCTGCTTTGACAAGATACTTTTACAGGCAAGATGAAACTATGTTAGGCTGAAGATGGTTGTTTATTCACATATAACTATAAGCATCATATACACCGTAAGATACACAGTAAAAGGTAAAGGTATAGAACTTCATTCTCACACATAGTCCAGCAGCATACTCAGAGATGAAGCCAAAAGGAAAACTTTTCATGAAAAAAATTAAAAACCTTTTGCCACCATGGTTAACCTTATCTGAGATAGTTTTACTCTTGGAATGTATCAGAGAAAAATTCATGTGGTTGGTACCTAAAATTCATGTGGCTGGTCCATAAAAATGCTAACTGGAATACATATGGGAATTATAGCTAACATTTACTGAACACTTACTTGGTTTCAGACATTATTTCAAGTTTTTTTAATATGGATTAAAATCGCTAATCAATTGCTATGAGATAGCATTTTATTGTCCTCACCTTATATCCAAGGAATTGAGGCACAGAGATAACACGCACAAATGCCAAGTTAATAGTGACTGGTTAAAAACAGCATGGCTCCAAATCCATGTTTTTAACCTTTAGGCAAAGAAGGTGGCACAAATGCATGCCATATACTTAATAGACTCCAGGAAAAGGGTAAGATTCAGGTAGCAGCTTACAGTTATCTCTTATAAACTATTGAGATGAGTGTATAAACTTGTATAATTTAAAAAACTTTTATATCTCATAAACTTAGTCATATCTTTTATTGGGCTTTCTATAGAATTCTTTTTTTTTTTTTTTTTTTTTTTTGTTAGTTTTTTTTTTTTTTTTTTTTTTTTTTTTTTTTTGAGACAGAGTCTCACTCTTTTCACCCAGGCTGGAGTGCAGTGGCACAATCTCAGCTCACAGCACCCTCTGCCTCCTGGGTTCAAGCAATTCTCCTGCCTCAGCCTCCTGAGTAGCTGAGATTATAGGCATGTGCCACCACGCCTGGCAAATTTTGTATTTTTAGTAGAGACGGGGTTTCTCTATGTTGGTCAGGTTGGTCTCAAACTCCTGATCTCAGGTGATCCACTCGCCTCAGCCTCCCAAAGTGTTGAAATTACAGGCGTGGGCCACCATACCCGGCCAGAATTCTATTTTTTTAAAAGAGGGTCTTGCTCTGTTGCCCAGGCTGGAGTGCAGTGGAATAATCACAGCTCATTGTAGCTTCAATCTTCTGGGCTCAAGAGATGCTCTCACCTTAGCCTCCCAAGTAGCCAGCCACCACACCTGGCTAATTTTGTTTTGTTTCATTTTTGTTTTTTGTTTTTGTAGAGATGGGTTATTTCTATGTTGCCCAGGCTGGTCTAGAATTCCTGGTCTCAGCCAGATGCAGTGGCTCACGCCTGTAATCTCAGCCCTTTGGTAGGCAGATCCCATCACAAGGCAGGCAGATCACTTGAGGTCAGGAGTTTGAGACCAGCCTGGCCAACATGGTAAAACCCAGTCTCTACAAATATACAAAAATTGGCCAGGCGTGGTGGTGGGTGCCTATAAGTCCCAACTAGTTAGGTGGCCGAGGCAAGAGAATTGCTGCCACCTGGGAGGCAGAGGTTGCAGTGAGCTGAGATCACGATACTGCACTCCAGCCTGGGCAACAGAGCAAGATGCTGTCTCAAAAATAAATAAATAAATAAATAAATAAATTAAAGAATTCCTGGCCTCAAGCCATCCTCCCACTTTAGCCTCCCAAAGTGGAATTCAATTTGATTACCACCAGACACACATTTGTACTTGCTCAAATGTACAGGATCCCCATGGTAAGACAAAACATCACAGCAACTCACAGTATTTGGAGAAAAAGAAGGGGTAATTACTCTTGACAGATTATGATAGCTATGATCTCTATCTTACCACCATTAAGTTTTAAGACTTATCCTAGACTTGTTTTAGTATGGTTGCTGGTCTCTAGGTACCACTTTAACTTAAAACATGGCTGTGTCCCCTCTTAGCTTAAGTTAATTCATGGCACGAAAAAATTCACAAGGTTAAGATGAAAGCAAGCAGTAAAAGTTCAGAACAGGGTAAGACACAGTGACTGACCAATTATCCTCATAGTATGCCAACCTCAGCCACACATAATACCAGTTCTATACACAGCTTTCATTAATAATGTTTTATTACAGTTTTTATTTCTTACCCATTAAACAAGTTTTTTCCATCTTCTTCCATATTATTCCACAGTCATTGGTTAGGTTTCCTCTATTACCTACAAGTGGGAAACAATCTGTAAGGCTGAGCTAATACATACCAAGAAAAAAGCAACTTCATGAATTATAATTACAAATTCAAAAAAGGAGTATATTACAATGCATTAAACTCCCTACAAGTCCTTAAAACTGATGTAAGAGTGAAAACAAAAGGGCCAGGGATGGTGGCTCACGCCTGTAATCCCAGCACTTTTGGAGGCCGAGGTGGGTGGATCACCTCAGGTCAAGAGCTCAAGACCAGTCTGGCCAACATGATGAAACCCCATCTCTACTAAAAATACAAAAAAATTAGCCGGATATGGTGGCAGGCCCTGTAATCCCAGCTACTCAGGAGGCTGAGGTAGGAGAATCACTTGAACCTGAGAGACAGAGGTTGCAATGAGCCAAGATCGCGCCACTGCACTCCCTCCTGAGCAACAAAAGCAAAACCCCATCTCAAAAAAAAAAAAAAAAAAAAAAAAAAAAAAAAAAAAAAGTGAAAAAAACTGTGATCTTTTTCTTTAGCTAAGAGTGACCAAAGAGTCAGTCACTTACGGGTAGACTGATCTATAAATGGAAGTATTAAAGGTTTACTTCCTGAAAAAATGCACTTCCGCATTTGTTTTAGGTCTTAAAAATTACAGATTATATTTGCAGACAATCTGAAACTGTCAGAAAAAAACACACAAATTCATGGTAACAAAAATACTCGAGTATCAAAAGCTAAAACTATTTTTGCGTAAGTGAAATATATAAGAACACAGGATGACATGAGGTAACTCTTTTGTGCTAAGTGGGTTTATGATCTATATGTAAGCAGCATGCTTCTTTAAAAGCAGTGTATATTCTGTACACAAGGACATTATATTAGTCAAAGACATCTAGAGTTTATGATTTGGACAAATTACATGTATAAGCATGTTTAAGGTTTCTGACACTTTATTAGGAAGCAGGACTCAATAAAGCTTGAGATCGGCAAGCTGGGCCACCATTGTAAGAGGAAAGAAAATTCCCTATTGTGTCATCCTAACAGCTAATACAAGAATTCCTCTTGAAAGAAACTTTCTTTAAGAAAATATGTTCCCATAATATGGGCCCCCATCACTCATGTCCAGTCCCCTTGGAGTGGGTGGTTTGCTGCAGAATGGCTGTCAAGATCCTAGAATGGTTGTTAAGAAAGGGAAATTGGTCTGCATTAGACAGAGAAGAATTTGGTTTTATATCGCTGAAAGGAATGGGGAGAAGAATGAGGAGGAGAGGGAAAGAAAAAGAAAAGAGTTAGTATAATAGAGCAAAGCTAGGTTTAGGTGGAGGTGAAGCTCTTGGGTCAAGGGAGGTCTGAAAGATTTTAAGAACAGGAATGTTTTACTAGGGAAGTTGTTTGCATTAATGCAAAGAAAGGATCACTCCAACTCTATTTTGCCCCCTTTCTTCAGGTAGGTACACGAAATCTGCAAATGCCCTGTGTGAATAGGGCCTTTCTGAAAATCAAAGAGGGAGCCAAGTTTCACATGTGGGTGCACTATGGTGCAAATCAATGGTACGAGATAAGAAAGTAAGTCCCAGGAGGCAGAAAAGGTTACAAGATCATGAAACCCAGCAAATACACAAATATTTTTAGGGAGAGCTTACAACTTCTAGTTCTAGGTTGGGGGTTCTGAGGCAACCATATCCATTAAAAGCTAAGGGACTGTCTGACTGTCTGACACTTCACATCCATAAAATGTCCCTCTTTCCTATCCAAATGACCCTACTTTTAATATAAGAACACCAAAACATTCAAAGTTAACTTAATTACATTTAAATCCAAGTTATTCTAATTAATTTGGGATGCTCCCCAAAAGCTGACTATAATAATCAGTTCTACACTAAGCAGCACTTAGGACATGTATATAATCATATGGAGTTTAAGTTTAAACCCCTAGGAAACAGTTATATTAATAAATATGAAGAGGAACAACTTCAGTAATTATGATGCTGATCTTGAAAACTAGGAAATTAGGCTGGGCCCACTGGCTCACTCCTGTAATCCCAGCACTTTGGGAGACCGAGGTGGGCAGACCACGAGGGCAGGAATTTGAGACCAGCCTGGCCAACATAGTGATATCCCTTCTCTACTAAAAATACAAAATTAGCTGGGTGTGGTGGTGCATGCCTGTAATCCCAGCTACTCGTGAGGCTGAGGCAGGAGAATTGCTTGAACCTGGGAAGCAAAGGTTGCAGTGAGCTGAGATCAAGCCACTGCACTCCACCCTGGGCAACAGAGCAAGATTCCGTCTCAAAAAAAAAAAAAAAAAAGAAAGAAAGAAAACTGGGAAATGAAAATAAATCAGCTCAATGCTGAAAACTATTAATAAGATCCCATACATTCGAATATGTTCTATATATATATATCATTTACACTACTTCAATATACTTTTAAATGGGTGGGAAGTGAAATTACAGATATATAAAACAAATCACTACAGTAGAAACTAACTAAAAATGTGGATGACATCCCTTTAAATGGTCATTAGAAAAGTTCCTGAACAGACGCAGTGGCTCATGCCTGTAATCCTAGCACTTTGGGAGGCCAAGGCAGGCAGATCACAAGGTCAGGAGATCAAGACCAGCCTGGCCAACATGGTAAAATCCCGTCTCTACTAAAGATACAAAAAATTAGCTGGGCATGGTGGCACGCACCTGTAGTCCCAGCTACTCAAGAGGCTGAAGCAGGAGATCACTTGAACCTGGGAGGCAGAGGTTGCAGTGAGCCGAGATTGAGCCACTGCCTCCAGCCTGGGCGACAAAGCAAGGCTCCATCTTAAATAAACAAATAAATAAATAAACAAATAAAGTTCCCAAAGTCAGGAGGGCATATTCCAAGCTTACCTATTAGTGAAACATGCTGAACTCAGGGACTGTCTGGCTCATGCAAGAAAAGAGCACATGATGTGCAGTAACAGAAACCAGTTATCATCATGGTGTCCATTTATTTACAAGACCTTCCTTAACTTCTCTGAGCCTGTTTTCTAATCTACTTCACAGCACTTGTGTAAGGATTAAATGAGAACCAAGTAAAATACCAGTGCATTGCCTGGCACATAGCTGATGATCAACAAATACTTAATTTCCTTCCTTTGTCTTTCTACCTTTAGTTTAGAGCAATTTTCAGGGCTTAAAAAGAAGAAAATCCATTCTTGAAACCTTACTCAATTTACTCGTATTCTGCCAAATAATAACAATGATGATAATGGTGATGACTATGATGATAGCCATTAACACTGGTAACAGCATTTAACGTGTGCCAGAAATGTAGTTAAGTGCTGTTACATATATTAACAAATTCAGTCCTCACAACAACTGTGAGGTAGATATTTTTATTCCAATTTTACAGATGAGGAAACTGTGGCATACATAAGTTCCACAGCTAATAAGTGGCAAAGCAAGGGTACAAACCCAGGTTTCTGCTCTTCGAAAATATACCAGGCTGGGAGCACTGGCTTACGCCTGTGATCCCAGCACTTTGGGAGGCTAAGGCAGGAGGATTACTTGAGCCCAGGAGTTTGAGACCAGCCTAGGCAACAGAGGGATCTACAAAAAATAATTTGCTGTGTGTTTTGGCACAAGTCTGTAGTCCCAGCTACTTAGGAGGCTAAAACAGGAAGATCACTTGAGGCTAAGGCAGGAAGATCACTTGAGGTCAAGGCTGCAGTGAGCCATGTGTGACTGTACCACTGCACTCTAGCCCGAGTGACAGAGTGACACTTTGTCTCAAAAATAAATAAATATTAATACCAAAAACTAACTTCTAGGTGAAGTCACAGCAACAATGCCCTATCTTTTTTTTTTTTTTTTTTTTTT